TAGTATATATATATATATATATATATATATATATATATATATATATATATAGTTTTATTTGGCGTATATATTTTGTTTAAATATTAAAAAAAATTCTTAGATACAATGTGCAAAAACGAAGTATCCTGCTGGAAAATTAACCCGAAAAGAATGATATTCATTTGAAAGTATTAAGCATTAGCATGCGACATCTGTTATGAATCAAACAATTAACGTTTCAAAAGATTTGTGATATGTAAATTTTAGTTTAAGCTAACTAATGGTTACTCCATTCATGCTAAATATTGTTAATTTGAATAACAGCGGAAATGTTATCCAGTATAAATTAGTGGGTAATTCTCCTATACACTTCAGATTGCATTGGTATTTCAATATGAGGTGTTGAAGAAGTGCAATTTTGATGTGAGCTTTAACTGAAAATGCAAACAGTAAAAAATACCAAACGAAAGATAAAATTCCGGAAAGATACCAGAAAACCACCACATATAAAGTTGTAAAAATAAATTATGGGACCAGCAATACACTTTGGTTGTATGATAAAACACGAAAAACTAAAACAACAACACAAGAATAACTGCTTACAAAATGCATCGCTTGGAACATTTTTAAAAAAATAAATAATTCGAACTAAAATTCCCAATCAGCAAAAAGGAACAAAATAACTGATTGAAAAAGAAATGATACATACAGTAATGGAATATCCTAGAACTATTCCCAAACAAATTACAGCAGTCCTAACTGGATGTTTGCGCATAATATCGCCTGTACTTGTCTCCAATATTCAACAGATAATATGTATTAGGAAACAGGCTGAATTCATTCGTCAAATTGCTTCGCACACCTTCCGGTCTATACGGAGCTGAAATAAAAAATCTTCCCATAAAAAAAATTTTATGCAGAGCAACAGATATTTATGAACAATTATAAAAGTAGTTCAATTACATAACGGTAGTATGTGTTATTACATGTGTTTCGATTTTTGCACGTTAAATTGATCATATTTAAATAAACCTTTAGTTAATGATTTAGTCAGACTTCAGGTTTCGGGTAAATTTAGATGAACTTCAGAGTTTTAGGTAAACTCGTCTGTTCCTATACATGAGCACAAAGTTAGAAATGAGCACAAGTTAGAAAAAGAATTCACAGAGACTTGAGGGAAAGATGCCCATCTGCAAAACATACTGTACCTCCACTTGACAGAAGCTTTTCCCTAAGAGCCAAGATTTCGTTATAACGTTTTGGAGGTATGCATAAACGTTCTTCCAATAACGCTATAGCTGCATCTGCGCTCCGTTTTATTTGAGTACATTGATCTTTGGTATCTGAAAAAAAAAACTGATTTATATCAGTTCCAGGTATTTCAACAGTAATTGTTATGCTAAGCATGCTAACTACCACTTAGTAGAGCAACTATGAAAGATAACCGAGAATCCGGAATTAATCTAAAGATAAAAAAAAAAACTGTAACTTGCCACTTTAAAATTTCAACCATCTTCTTCAATGACAATAAGCACATAAGGAAGATATTTTAAAAAGCTTGAAATTTATAAAGAGGAACTTAATGTTTTTAAGCTTTATCTCGATTTTTCGAAAAACAAAAAAACTTTGAATACTTGACACAAAGTCACCAACCCTTTTCTAGTATCAATATCCGGGCAGAAAACATTGCTGAAGCTGCTCCGCTACCGTATGAGAAAAATAGAAGTCGTTGACCACCTAAAGCTTGCTCATTCGACGAACTGAAGAATGAAAAAGTGAATAACATTTGATGAATAAATGTTACCTGCTGTTAAACTGTTTTCCCATAAACTTCGAAAATTCGAGAAGCTGTTACTTTATAGTAATTATAAAGACATAAAAACAGAGCAGTAATGCATTCTAAGGAAATTCATGTTAGTGAAATCCATTTAACACATAGGATGTTATTAATTTGAACTTCCTCATTAGTCACTAAGCAGCAGTAACTTATTTGTTTTATGGAAGTTTCCAGCATAAATATCACACTTTATTTAACTAACCTAGTCGCTACCAAACGCAAGTAGCGATGGAATGATGTGAGAAGCTTAATATCATTTCACAAAATGCTTAAAGGACAAAAACAATGTGCAGTAATTGTCTACAAGAAGGTACGAAACTAAACTAACTGATAATAATCTAAAGAAAAAGAAGCAAGAGAAATAAATTAAGTCTGAAAATACACAAAGAAAAAAGTGCATAAAGCAAGAACTATGAGAACTGTATATAACACCTGATAAAATGTGCATAATAATATTAATTGTTTGTAATATATGAGGAATCAACAAAAATCCCCCAAATTTCTAAAAAAAAAAAGAAAAGAAAAGATGGAAATGCAATATCAGTTGAAGTAATTTAAAAGAATTATCTTGAAACTTACCGATGAAAAAAGAAATCAGCTGTAAATAAAGTGATGCTGTATACGCATTTCCAATTCGTCGATTAAGTAATAAGAATGGTTCGGTCTTCTGAGTCCAAAGTTTTGCACTTATTTGCGTGGTCATTTTAGCAAAATCACGACTCATATAATTTAGTTCACGAGGTTCAAGTAAAAATCTGAAATATTAGTAATAGTAAACAGTAAAACTGCTTTCTGGAAAAATTTGGAGGAAGGTTCCTATAAAATAGTAAAAGGGGATCGGTAGGAGATTTGATTTTAATTATAGTTTATTTAAATCAATCAATTGAGAGATGCTGCTTTGTCGAATGTTTTATGTGCTGTTACGAGGAAGAAAGCTTTCAATGCCAAACTGATTGAAATGTATAAAACCTTACTACCATAAAATATATTACTGTTCAAAAATTCATAAATAAAAATCTAACGCTGAAGGTTTAGCCCGTTCAATATCTGCCAAATGACTGTTTAATCCACGCTTGAAATCAATAAATGCCAACACACCAAGGGCCTTTTGAACAAGACGAGTGAATGGACAATGAAAAAACACGCCATCGAAATCCGAAATATTTATTACTAAAATTAAATACTACCTACCAATTAAATTTCAAAAGTAAATACTTCCAATTTAATTTTTAGTTTGAATTTGACTTAGTCCGAGGTATTAGGTAAGTGGAACAAAGTAACTTTTATATTCATAAAACTTAAACACAAAAGTAAATGTTTCGAACTTCAAAAATTTATGACCTTCGTCCCTTAATTTTTTGGCCTTTTGGCAGTATAACTTGTAAGTTTCATCTACGGCAGTGAGATAAGACTGTAAGCTGGCTTGTCCTTCGACAACAGGATATTCTGAGGGCACAGGTTGACTTGGTTTATAAAAATCGTAAACATCAACCATATACGCTGCACGAAGTCCTCTTTCAAACGACAATACTGCATTTGGACCAACTAGGGCCGCGAAGGCTCCAGCTCCTATAAACAAGCCATATTTTAATAAAAAGGTCAAATATGGGAGATAAAAAATAAATGCTTCCCCAAAGTCAGTTACTTCGTCCTAAAGAACAATACCTCATCCCCAAATTGAAGAACTCTATTACGATTCCTGATATTGGTAATGTAAATCTTCTTTTCACCCTACCGTCGTTTTAAGACTCATCAATTACTTCCTCTACTTAAGGAATCGAATCCGGATCCCTTAAGATAGTCTTGCTTATGACAATCCCAATATCTTACACATACATACCGCCTGTACATCGTGCTGGTCCAGCACCGTAAACTGCTATATCTGCCATTACAGCAATTGCATATCGCTCTGAAATTAAACGAAATCTAAAGCAAAATGTCTTGTTCAGTAACAATACCTCTAAAATTTAAATCAGAGTAATCGGAAAAGAAGTTGTTGAATTACTTCACACGCAGGTATGACACATGGGAATACAACCCCTACAAAAGAACTTACTTTCCAATTCCCAGTTCGCATAAATCCAATCAATGGCATGAAATAAAGCTTGAGTACCACCGTAACATGCATTTTTTACATCAACGCCTTCAATATCGCAATTTTCCTCGAATAATTTCATCAGCGAAGTTTTAACACTCTTACTTTTATCTATTAGCGTTTCCGTTCCAACACAAAGAAAACCAATATCTTTGGCAGAAAGCTGCAATAAATAGTTTATGAATTTTATTTATTAATAGTGTCATCAGAATTCATGAATACATTATGATATCATATTGAAAGTGCACTGCATAATGTCATTTTAAAATGTACATCGAGGATTAAAAACACACAGTAGCGACATTTTCAAAAGATATCTGAAGTTACAATAAATTTAATAAAAAGTGGATCTGCAAAATTCTTATGATTCTGTCTAGTAATAAGGAAACAAATATATGCATATGAGCCTTTCAGACTTCCGCTACGCATATTTCCGATAACGGATTATTCGCCAATTCGTTTTTAAGGACAAAACTGAATGGGGAAAAAAAAACTTCATTATTCATTTTACCTTTTTCCACTAAGATATTGGAAAATTCTCCAATATCATATTTTTGAAATCATTTCTACCAAAATTATTTGTTGTACAATAGAACGAAAATCATACTTTATAATTTCGCAGTAATTTCGATACAACTGTTAAACAAATGGATGTAATATCTTCGTGATCAGCACAAAAACTCATTTCATCCTGTCCGAGTCCAATGGTATATTTGCCCTTTTCAACATTATCAAACTGAAATAAACTTTAAATTAGAAAAAAAAGTGGAATTTCCTTGCTACATAAGGCAAGAGCACTATTTAAGAATTCTTTGAAACTTTATCAAAATAAGTATGAAGTTAAATGGATGAAAGAAATTACGATACAGACAGGGAAAAGCATGAAGCGAGAAAAATGAAATGATAAGATTAGAGTGTAAAACAAAAAAAAAAAAAAGAAAATAAAAT